ATAGATATATAGATATATATATATGTATGTATATATATATATGTTTACATATATATCAAAAATATATGTACTGAACAGTATGGGTATCTTGTCTTGCGCACGTACATCTAAAACAGATTATGTTACTATGAATGAAAATACCTCAATAAATAAAAGTTATTTTCAATGTTTGTTATACTTTGAATAAGTTTAAAATATCAAATTTATATCTATCACATCCAATATACAATCCTTAACCTTGTCTTCTCTGCTTCCCTCTGACGTAGATCTATTCATATGCGCATAACGTATAGTTTTAAGTTTTACCAAACCTCTGTGTCATTTGCAAATGGCCGTTGTAGTTATCTTCCACTCTATTGATGCACGTTTGGACCTCCTTGCATGTTCCCCCTCTCTGTTCCGCTCAGATTCTGTGCCTGGCACTCCTATTCAGCGTCGCTTTCGTTTGGTGTCTGAAACTCTTATTACTCAGTGCGCACTCATTCGAACCCATACTCAGCTCTCAGGCCATATACTATCATTATCGGCCGAATGCTGATACTATATGATCCGAAGCAGGAATTACTGTGTCGTAAACAATGGCCATGTCGTAAATTCATGCTACTCTGTGCGCACTGTCCCATTTAGTCTGCAGTCCAGCCGCTTTGTGAAAGTTATACGCGCGCGCAATGAACGGGGGGCTGTGGTGGTCAAACTCTTCGTCAAACAGGACAACACTGTGTCGTACACTAAGTATATACGACGCATACGAGGTATATCCAAGGTGTATGTATATCCAAGGTATAGTTTTATTCAAGGTGTATGTATACTCAAGGTGTATGTATATCCAAGGTATATGTGTATGTATATCCAAGGGATATGCATATCCAAGGTATAAATAAGTATATCCAAGGTATATGTTTATCCAAGGTATAGTTTTATTCAAGGTGTATGTATATCGAAGGTGTATGTATATCCAAGGTATATTTTTATTCAAGGTGTATGTATACCCAAGGTATATGTATATCCAAGGTGTATGTATATTTAAGGTGTATGTATATCCAAAGTGTGTGTATATCTAACGTATATGTGTATCTAAGATGTATGTTTATCCATAGTGAATGTATAGCTCCACATGCGCACGAAATTCCTTTGATTTAATGCATATGTTTGTTGGTGTGAAGGGAGAGTGTCGATCACACCTTCGTCAAGCAGCAGTGTCTATGTCGCATTTCAAATACATACGCGCAATGGTGATAGGTTGATGTTCGTGTGTAGTTGTACATGCTTCGTTATTTTTCTCATGTGAACTCACGTTCGTGTGTGCATTTGCGAAAGTGTGCGTCACATTTCTCCTCCAGCAGAAAAAAACGGTGTTATGTACTACATACATACAACGTATACGGATGCGCAGAGTCTGTATAGCCGTACCTACGTACGTTACATTCTCTTATTTAACTTGTGCTCATGTTTGTATGTATTGGAATATGGTTTGCTCTTCTCGTCCGTATGTAATTGACACGTTTTTTTCCGTGTGCGTGGCGTGGTTGAATACGTACGGAAGTTTCGGCCAACCTCAGGTCCACACAGTGTCGACCTGTGAATATCTAAGTTATGAGTACGCTTTATTATGGAAACTTGTGGGAGCAGCTTATTCATTGTATAAAAACACATGCTCCGCTGCCTCCCAGATATCAACTCACGGCTCAAGGGTGTGCACAACGCTCAGGGGTTCGAGCGCGTCATCGACACTGACCGCCTTGTCGCCGTAGTGCGGCAGTACCACTTCAGTTCACTGTACGACCGTATCAGCACACGCCCGTTTCTCTCATACGTTGAGAAGCAATGGATCAGTTTCCAGCTACTGGCTGGGTTGGCGGATGCGCATGCGCTGGGGGTGTGCCATGGCGATATCAAGACTGAGAATGTGCTGGTCACCAGTTGGTGTTGGGCGTTGCTGGCGGACTTTGCCTCGTTCAAGCCCACATTCCTGCCCCAGGTGCGTCTCATACGCCAGTGTATATATAGTGTGAATGCTACCTGAATGTTTTCCTTTTCATTCTATACTAGTGTCACAGGCGGGTGTCACTGGATGATTATATGCATGTATGTTTATGTAATGTTAACAGTTGTTTATACTTCAAGCATATGTCCCTGTCAGGAAATAGTCGCTAAACTCGAGATCGTAAAATTTCGATTAAGCTGAACATATAGCGGTATACATCACAAATACAAGTGTGTACTGGATCTCGGATTTGGCGAGGGTGAAGTGTGTGTTGCAGTTTCAATGGGTACTTCGCGAGGACCAGTAGCCCTGTCCTGTGGCAATGGCGAGCACTTCTGTTTGTGCACACAGATGTATCTGTATCTGTATGGTAACGAACATACCGAACAAAAAACGCTACCACCGATACATCCTTTTGTTTCTCTCTATATCCTACTTACCTCGTCCAGGACAATTTTAAAACCCTAAATCCCAAAACCTCTAGGACACCCCACGCACTTCATTCCGGAAAATACTCACATCCCACTCATCTCATTTAGGACAACCCAGCGGCCTTTGCGTTCTTCTTTGATACATCTGGTCGACGCACGTGTTGTGTTGCGCCCGAGCGCTTTTACAATCCACAAACAGACAAGCAGACGATTGCCGCAGTGCTGGTCAGTGAGACAGACGAGTTCCGCGAAGGCGATCTGACGCCTGCGATGGATATCTTCAGTCTGGGATGTGTCATCGCAGGTATCAATGGGTGATATATGCGAACACCTCATAACTAGCCTCGATATATGTGTGGGGTTTTATTTATGTATGTGTATGTGTATGTGTATGTGCACATACTCATTCGTTACGACGTCCTACCCCCTGTGCTTCCTTTTGGAACGAGCGTGCTAGCAGATTTGCCGATTATATATATATATATATATATATATATATTATATCTTGTACTATGCTTAATCAACACCCGCTTACACATTGACTCACACCCATCAATGCCAATTCTCAGAGCTCTTCACCGAGTCACACGCGCTGTTCTCTTTTGCGCAATTGTTGGCATACCGCAAGGGTGAGTATGACATCACCGACACACTCAATCGCATCCGCGATCCCGAAGTTCGGAACCTGGTGGCGCACATGGTACAACTCGATCCGACGAAACGCTCAAGTGCGCGCGCATGCTTGAAGTTATGGCGCGGCAAAGCCTTCCCTGAACAGTTTTAACCTTCCTACACAAGTATGTAATGTTCATATATATAT